GAAACAAAGCCACCAAGGAAGCAGTATTCCGATCAGCTACTGCATTTTATTAAGGTACAGTGAATTTCTATATTTTACATGTTTACATGTTGCTACAAATACATTATATTGAAGTTCGTCATCTTATACAATGTCTAATCGTTATAAGTCAGGTGAAGGTATAGGATGATGCGAAAAATATAGTGTAGAATATAGTAACTTTTGAAAATCTTTGTTGTCTTTTTCAAATCGCAGCAGTGTGTAGATTACTTTGGTATAGCAGCTAGCAAAAAGAGCAAATTCTCACAAATTATTCTAACTCTTATTTGCAATTCTTGTGAATTTCAGTTACCACTGTCATCTTCGTGTTTTTCTAATTAGGTTGCTTGTATATTTTAAGTCTCTGAACAGTTTCTAACCATTCTTTTTGCAGCAGAAAATTAACTTAAATGGACCGATGAGTGTTGCTGATTATATGCGTCTAACAGCTTCATCACCTATTGGTGGCTATTATTCGCATCATGGTAGTAAAATATTTGGCGAAAAAGGTGACTTTATCACCGCTCCCGAGCTAACACAAATATTCGGTGAGCTTGTCGGTATATGGTGCTACTACGAACTGAGTTATACCGGTACTTCTCCTACTTTGAACTATGATTGTAAAATAATATTAATGATATTTAGTACTTCCTGTCTTCGGTTTACGTGTGACTATTCATGTGACCTTTACGGAGAATATGTTTAAGACATATACTTGTAGTGACATTTGAAGCATGCGATGTTAACTCTGTTAGAGCCATTCATGATTTATTAAAATAAGAATCTCTTCCATTATGAATTGCAACTGCTTAGTATTATTTCAGGTGCTTTCAGGGCATAGTGGGGAATGGCAGTTAGTGGAAAATGGTCCTGGTACAGGGCAGTTGATGTATGATATCACACGGACCCTGATACAGCTCAAAGTATGCTTCATCTTAATGTTTTTTGTTGTTTTTTAATATCCATTGATGACATTTTGTTTTAGGCGACAGAAGGATCTATTCATCTTGTGGAAACATCTGACGCTTTGTTGAGTCAACAGGAATCTCTGCTTTGTGAGCATACGTCGCAGTTCGTTGACGGAGAACCGTATGTTCGGTGTAATGTGACGAAAAATGGTTTTCCAGTATATTGGTATCGCAGTGTTGATGATATTCCTGCTAAAGTAAATGCTCATCACTTATTATTCGTGTGGAATTAACATAAAATTTCTTATTGGCAGAATTGAATGAAAAACTGGTTTAAATAAGTTTTGCAGTTTTCTGTATTCATAAGCAACGAATTTTTGGATGCGCTGCCAGTAAATCAATTCAAAAGAGATGATAAGGGCAAGTGGCACGAAGTATATGTGAATTTGGATAAAGATGACAGGCTTTGTTTTATGCTGTCAAGATCCGAAAATTTACATACACTGTAAATATTCATTCCATTTGATTTCATTAGAAATTGTTCGGAAAAATCACGACTTCTGTTCCAAACTTTTTTCTCCGCAAACTCTTAAAATAACACTTTATGTTTCAGCGGCTTGTTACCGAAAAATATTCGTGAGGATTTATCAATTAAAGAATGGGAAATTAGTATTGACGCTGGTACTTACATTAATCAGGTTAATCAATGCCAATAATTGCTATAACTGTAATTCAGTTTTGTATCACTGACGATATTTTTAGTGGCGGTAATGACTAAGATTTTTGATATTATGTTCAGTACTTCAGGTCGCTGACAGTATTACGAAATTTGGTGGTTTTGTGTTGATAGTAGATTATGGACATAATGGTACAAGAAAAGATTTATCTTTACGAGCCTACAAAGGTCACCAAATTGTACATCCTTTGGAAAATCCAGGACAACACGATATAACTGCCGATGTCAATTTTGGATATTTGAAAAGCCTCGTCAAAGACCGAACACTGGTTTTTGGACCAATTGAACAACGGTGTGTTGTTCTTTTATTTTCAAAATTTTATAGTAAATCTTTGTTTTTTCAGTGGCGTTTTCGACTGTTATATAAAGAATGATTTCACCAGGAACATTTGGTTTCATTTTTTTTATTTCACTTTTTCTTCGGCACTCCCAGTAACGGACAAAATATTTGGACAAAATATATTTCTTCATTGCGGAAGTGGAACGCTTATAGGAAACCCATTACAACCAATTTAATAATTTTAGAGAATTTCTTGCTCAAATGGGAATTGGATTAAGGCTGCAGAAACTGTTGGCATGTTGTAAAACAAAGGAAGAAAAAGAAAATTTGTTCAAATCTTATGAAATTTTGTTGAGTGCAAAAGGTATGGGTGAGAGATTCAAAATGATGAGTGTATTTCCAAAAACACTGGGAAGTATTTTAAGTCAACGTAAAGGACCAGCTGGTTTTGCAGGTGTGTGAACTTTTTGATTGGTTGTTTAAAATGTCGCACGGAGTTCTCTCATTTTTTCTTAACTATTTTCTTAAATGTTATTTTCGAACTTATATAAATCGGTGCATTTTTGTTCAAGTATTATGGTTTTAAATTATTAGTGAATTTTGTTTGCCATTCTTTATATTATTATCGAAAGCCATGGAAATATGCTAGACATCTGCAAGAAAGTTGCAAGGAACATGGGATTTTTTTTTATCCTACAAGAAAAATTTCCTGAAATTCAGAAGATCGTTCTAGTATTGAAATAAACATTTTTCAAACTTACACACTTCTCAACATACTTATCTGTGTTATGCATAACTAGGTCATTGAAGTTTTTATTCAAACATTTTGAAATGGTTTCATCATGAAAAACTAAATTCGAACTTGAACCTATTCGTCATGATAGCTTGCTCATTACTGCTGCTTATTTGTCCGCAATTTTCTCGGTTATAATCGTCATCGTCATTTTGTTATTTAAAAGGGATACTGTTAAGTTGTAAACTTCTGCTATATCACTCCTATGGGTCATTTCTGACTTCACAGTTTTAATCTTTTCTGTTTTCGTCTGTTCTTTTTATTAGGAATGAGTATTAATTAAAATTTAAGTTATTGCAACTGATTTTCATCCGAAAATTTCCTGTTTTCCATACTTGTGATTTATGAGAAACACAAATTCTTAGTGTCAAATTTCATAAATAGAATCAGTTAACGAATGGATAGTGAAATAATAACTGAATCATTGAATCTTAATTTTCGTGCCAATGAATTTCTATGATTTTTTTTTTTTTTTGTAAAAATCTAAAGTTTCAATTTTTTTTGGCGAAGTTTCTGATATCTTGCTAAGCTTATAACTACAGAAGTAATCACTCCCACTTAATGCTAGAAGTTATTTTGGAGTATTGCGAATTTTTACTAAGTTGAATAGTCGGTGATTATTATCAATTAATGGTGATAGGATAGTTATTGCATGTGAAAAAGATGACTGATATCATGATACATATTTTACTTATGATCAAATAAAATGGGGATATTGTTAGGGAGAAGTGGATATTTGTACCGTTTGAAATCTCATAATCTACTTACGCTAATGAGTAATAAACTGGTTTAGGGAATGTGTATTGATGATAGTAGATCATCTCTCATTTGGCTAATCTTGCAATAATTACTTATGACGAAAATTTATACATCATGACGAATTATTTTTAAAAGATGAAGATTGAAAAGTAAATTTGAAAATAATGCTTGTATCCATAGAAATAAATTGAAAAGATAATTCATATATGAATTGGTCACTCATTGCCGCTTATAATTATTGCTAAAATGCTTCTGAAAAAAGTAATTTGATTTTAACACTCTTTTATTCCATTCATTTAAAACGAAATAATTTAGCTACCGTTTTGATACGAGACCTAAATATTCCTATGCTAATTGCCATTCAGAATTCTAATTTGTTTATTAACACAAAAAAAAAAAAATCATTGTTAAGAAACGAATATTGTTAAAATAATATACTGAATGGTTAAATTAACATCTTAATTAATTATATGAAATATTCAATTTGCGAATTCAAATGTCTTTTCCAATTAAGGTAGAATCGTTGTTTCGTCTTCGTAAACGGTTCAAGTACAGTTCAAAGTAAGGCCGATTAAATCGTTGAGTAAAACCGATTTAAAAAAAAAGAACCAGCATTTTCCAAACAAAAAATTGTTAGTTCCCCAATAAACACTTCAATATATTCGTCCTACTGCCCCTGTCTTTTTTTTGACTTTTCAAACTTCATCAAATGTAGCACACAATTAATTTTCATTTGGATTTCTTGATAATGCAAATCGAGAGGCACACTTGAAAAATTTATAGCACGAAATAAAATTCGCTTGACGTTGACAAAGTATCCAGAGAATTATGTGATTGGATTTCTTTTTTTTGAAACTTTAGTTTTTAAAATTGGATGAAATTCACTATCAAAAAAAAGGCAAAAGTTATTTTCTCAGAGGTAGACGTAATTAGCTAAGCGCATTCATTACATTTAAAGACTTGCAAAGGCTAATTACCTAATTGCTCCCACTGTTAATATCATAATAGGGATAAGAGTCTTCCAAATGTTTTTCGAATTTGTTCGCCACTTGCAAAGTTCCGAATTTCAGACACCATACTAAACAATGTATAACAATGTGTGGGAAATTATTCAGAATGGATAGTAAAAGATGTTACACTACACTGGAGATAAGTTGATTAAACGATTGTTAAAATATGAAGTGTATAACAGCGAATAACAAAATTTGTATTTTTTTTGCCTTGCAAGATATGAAAAACAAGAATGAGATGTGATAACACGAAATGCTGCGACTTAATACACACATTATCCGAAAAAATGCTACCAAATGATAAAACAAAGCAGAAGCACTGTACAATATATTCTACCAGTTTTAAAATTTCGTATTTCAATTACAAATCATTGGTAAACTAACAATAGATAAAGGGATTAGCGCTTAACATAAGTCTCTCTTGGGGGCCTAGTATCCGACGTATAGCTCTGCCACTGCAACAATATTCAAAAAAAATCCTGGTATTTCAATTTTAAAAACAAACATTACGGTACGAAAAGATTAATAATTTTTCGAAATCTTTAGACACAGAGTGGAAAATTTCGAACAGTGAGTTTAAGTTTAAATCATAAATTATATAAATCAAGCAACTTACAATTAGTAACCTACTAAAAACACCTCAGGACGAATACTGTAATAAATGAAAAAATGCTGACGAAAAATTGCAGTTCTATAACTCAAGAGCTAAACCTCAAAATAAATTTTAAAGAATGGCCGATCATTTCAAATCAATTCAACTTCTTTGAGTGTAAATGTGGTCATTGCAACTTTATGAAAGAATCAAGTAATAAATAGGGTAGTGCAGAACTGAACAATTGTTTATGGAAGGATAACTTAGAGGAAATTTCGAAGAATAACCATGATCAGATAATAAAACAAATATCAAAGACAGGGCCTGAAAGAACAATATATTATTGCTAACTGTATGACAAAACCAGAATAAAATTATTTGGAAAAAACTTTGAAAACAACGAATAACGCTTTTAAGGTTGACCAAATTCGAATATCCTGGATGTTTAATCCAAATTTCATAATATATAATATTTTTAAGTTTTTCGTTTCGTATTTTATCACAAAGCCTAAACAAAGGTCTGTGGTACCATCTGAGAAATAAATGGGATAAAAAAACCAAAGCACAAAAGGATGAAAAATCCATTTCGAACATGCATAACAGTCAATGATAAGCAAACACTGAGATTCAATATTGACGCGCATACCTATTGTTTGAAAATAAAAATTCCTTGAGTTATTTCCACTGCTTACATGTGTACTGAAGCACTATACCGAACGTGACTCGATGGCATATGCCACCTCGAAGGACGATACTGAAACATTATTTATGGAAAACAGAAAAAGATGTAAAGGAAAAAAAATTTCGAATAACATCTCATAAGTAAATTTATCTTTCTGAGCATACAATAAGAAATACCATAAAGGCATTTTTCCTTGTAGTAATCTTCATGAATATTTTTTTTTAAAAAAATCAGGATTTACCCTTATCAATAGTTGGCCCGAAGGCGTATGAGGATTGAAGTATGCGTATGAGGCCCAACTTGCCAGCATTATAACACCAACGACGACAACAAATATTGACACGAATCCGCTATTAGATCGGCCCAACACATCTATAAACTGGCTTAATTTCATCATAGATCTTAGCAAGAGATCGACTCTATTAAATTATTCACTAGATTTCGTTCATAATGAATCGAAAACAGTAAATAGTTGTAAAATCACCTTGGCTGTCTTTAGCTACTTGTGGAACTTTAATTTTTTTCTCACGATCCCACGCAACCACTTCATCCGGTTCTGACGGTGATGCTGTTACTCGTACTTTCCCTGCAAATGGAACAGATCGTTTTGCGACTTCTAAATGCTGCAATTTTACTTACTAGTATTATAACTGATTGTTTTATGAGGATATGAAAATGAATGTTCCTAAACTGTAGTATATTTCCATCTATAATACGTATTAGTACTGAGGTAAAATAAACTGCCAACAAAGAGATAAGAAACTGAATAATCAGACTGAGCGATCAGCCGCATAAACTAAAAATCCAGTTAGTTTGGTTTAACAAAGCAAGTGACGATTCTATAAAAACCATTTAACTGCTACGAAATCAGTATAACACAGAGGCTACAAAAGCCGTGCATGACGATCTTAGAGACATTGAAGTTGCAATTATTAAAGTTTTTTCGATCATCATTTATTTAAAAATACCAGATGCATCACGAATATCGTCTTCCTCATCGATTTCATTGAAATCTTCATCTGCACTACAGTAAGTCACTTTACCGTTATCCTTGCAGTTGCCTTCAATCCAGTGCTGTCGGCGTCTATGCAGTCTGAAAATAAACTATGTAACATATTCCCCTTGAGGATTCCGAATTAGAGATCTTTATTTACGCAAAGAAGCATAGTTTACCCAGCTTGGTCAGAGCAAAAAGGTCCACCGTGTTTTGCCTTCGAATGACACCAAGAGCAGTTAAAATGTTTTAAAGTCGCATTGGAACATTCTTCACAGCTCTGATACTGTATGCATGCTGGAATATGAAGACTTGCATTTACGTATTTTCTATGAATACAAAAGAATTTCGAAAAGAAAAATTTTGCAAAAATTGGTCTTACTTGGTTGAGCCTTCAATAGAACGATTGTATTTGATACAATAAATAATGGTTTCACTTCAATGCGATGGTATTCGTAAATAACCCGTTTTATTGATGCTACAAAAAAAAAAAAGAAAAAAAAAGGACGGAGGCAGTGTGAATTCACAAAGTTTTAAAAAGGACATTTCCAACGATATCATTCTGCGATATTCCAATTTAAAGAGCAGAAAATGAAAAAAACTTACGAGGTTGCGAAATAGGTGCAAGGGGATTATGCACGCTGTGATGAAAAAGATAAGCATCACTCATCCCTATTTTCACTGGGTGATGGGAATCACTGATGTTTGTTACAGGTATCGGTACCTAAAATATCGCTTAAAGATACTGTCGAATCAAAGTAAAGTGTTGTCACAAAATAGGAAAGGGATCATCGGAAGAGGGACATATACTGCTCAAATTAATTTGCTTACTGCTTTTTATATTCCTGCTTACTTACATTAACTTAATACTTATTAGAATGCAAGCATGAATTCATTCAATACTTACATCTTTGTAGACGAACCAGATATCTCCGTTCTTGTGTAAAGATGCTTGGAAAGTGAAGAAACCGTCTGAAAGTATGTTGACAATAACCTAACATAATTTAACATCTAATCTTGAAGCTCAAATCTTCAACTGAACCGATCGTATAAAAATTCTAAAAGCTAACATAATCTAAGATTGAAGACTACGTATATTTACAACATTTACACTTACCTCTCCCAGTGATACAAACACTGTCCATTTTATTTTCACTGGAGTGTTCAAGCTATTTTTGCCTTTCAAAGATAAATTTTCGAAAAGGAAATTTCCAAAAAGTGTGGCATGCTAATCTTAAAAGATGTACAGAAACCGTGCCTGAACGTTGTTCACGAAGTTGTAAATTACGCCATTCCATAACAAACTTTTCACCATCATCCGCATACATAATTGTAGCATTTTCGCCGTGCGTATCAAAATTGGCCATAAGCGGTGCAATATATTGCGTGGCTGCTAACCAGCTGTGCCACTGATCACCAATGTAAGCAAAGCCTATGAAGTAAATGAGTTTGTGTCTGTGTGCTATTATTTTGCTTTGAATTTATTCCAAATTTCGAGCTCTCAATAAAACGTAGTGGACATCAACAACACTATAATTACAGAACACTGACTACTAAAGAATCATTAATTCTATTTCAAAGTATATTACTATAAAAGAGCGGAAAGTCAGTATCTGTTAGTATTCACAAGTTTAAAATTTCTAAGGAATACTATAGAAAAACCTAAGGTTTTTGGAAGAAAATGATAACTTACCACCAGTAGCGATAGTTAAATTTTTCATTCGGTGACCATAAAAAGGAAAATCAAACTGTATCTTAGCCGCCTAAAATCTTTTCAAAAAAAAAATTAGTGAAAATAACGAATTATAGATTCAGTCGCCAATTAATGTTATAAAACAATGTAATTTGCAAATTACCTTCTAAATTTCGTTCATACTAGTAGTTCTATTATTTTGGCATCAAGAAGACTGGAAATTGTTACAAAAAAAATCCAGATGGTTGATATTACATACCACGGCTCTTCTATAGCTATTTGAAAGTGATGAATGACTTCTATTACCAACAGTTCCTGGCTTTTCTAACATTGCTGGTACATCGATGTAATAATCCTTCATTAGATCGGATCTATTGACTTTGATTTCCATTATGTAATACTGATGATCAATCTTTAAAAAAAAAAATGTTTTCGAATTGAACTTTAAACTCCAAAGTTCAAATTAAATCAGTCATTTTTTTGAGTACAGGAAATATATTCCAATTCTATGATATCAGTACATAATGATATAAATATCAAGGCAACTTCCGTACCACATAAATTCTCTGCTTCGCATTACTCGTTATTTGTTCCCATTACTTCAAAAAGTGGAGTTACGTTAACAGTCTTAAACGAGACCGCAAATAATCGATTAAACACAACTCTCAGGATATGCAAACCTAACTAAAATTTTTATGAGCAGATGATGCTGAAGTAAAAATAATACTATATCGGGAGGTAACACAATAGTCATACTTGAATATGCTGTAAAATCAAAATAGTATTTCAAAAGCATACCGAATCTTCTAGCACCTCAACGTCTTTTGGTAAACGAAATGCGTCCTCGATATCATCGCTGTCATCATCAATTCCTCTTTTATATCTTCTTTGTAATGGTGAGAAATTTGGCGGGTCGAAATTGTAGTAAAATGACCCTGAATTAGAATTTTGGTTTAAAATGCGCGGCCCTAGAAAAAGTTGTAGATTCTAAATAATTCAAAACAACGAATAATCGGTAGGAATTGAGCTTTTCAAACCAACGACAAAAACTCAGAGATGAGAAGGATAGGGAAAATGCAGAAAGGATAACTGCAGTAATGAAACGAATTACCTTAGTACTGACTAACGGTATGAAATATTATTATAAATTGGTTCTAAAAAAGAAACAACACACACCTTTTCTTTCAGCAGTAAATGAAAAATCGATAAAAGTGAGAAGGAAAAGTAAGAGATGTAATTTGAAGTACATCATTTCTCCAGAAGATAGTTTGTTTTAGCGTGCAAACTGTTTCATGCAAACGCCCTCTGCGAGCGATACACGTCACGCATAACACGTATAAATCCTAAAAATCAATTATTTAAATTTTTATCCCAGCAAAAATTAATAATTCTAAAAAAGTAATGGCCGAAAAATAATCATACGTGACATAAATGATGCATAAATACATTACGCACTACTAATGCATATATGATGCATGCTCTTCATAAATGGAGCATGCATAATGCATTTGCAAATGCATGCATACACAATTTGGCACAATTATGCGAAGGAAACTGCGATAATATACAACCTCTTGCGATTAGGGAAAAGTGAAAATTATTTCCATTTAATATTTCGCTACTGTATAAAAGCTACTGTATAAAATGAAGGCAAAAATTTCAAATTTTCAAAAATATACTGTAAGGGAGCAGAAAGTGATTTCAATGTATCAGCGTGTCTTCGAGAAATCACTTTACATAAACGGTTAGTATTCTTGCGTTCCAACAGAATAGTGTGCGAATCACAATTATTACTTTTACATGAGCAAAAGATAAAAAGAAAGTTCACGATAGCATCGTTAAAAACCGTTGCATCTGATAGGTCATTGCATGGTCACTTCAGCCATATGTCCAGTTGTGTTTACCATCATCATCACTGGGTACATTACTTGATGCTACGCAACCTACGTGGAAGATATACTGAACGAGAATAATGGAATGGGTTGCACTTTAAAACGAGAGAAGAAAGTTAAAATTGAAAGAGAAGTGGCGTTTTGGTTTTAAAAATCAATGAACATAAAAAAGAACGGTCCGATATGAAAAATAAATGACCCATCCACTCATTCACGTCTGTCATCTTACGCCCACGAATATCAGCAACGTGACAATGCGGGCAATCCTTCTTGGACGGAGTATTATTCGCGACGACTTGGAATGAATCGATTTGCAAAAATGGTAAAAGTAAGCAGCACTTTAGCGATAGTTAGAAATTTGGTATAATGACTGAAATGAGGAATAATGGAAATAAGGACAGGAAACAGAGGAAGAAGGAAGCAAGCGATCAAAAACGATGGGGACGGTGCTCTCATGATATGACTGAGGTACGGGGTAGGGGGGGGGGACATTGAGAGAGGTAAGCAAAAAGAGATCAATGTACTAGAAAGAGTTCTTATTATCAGTGTCTCATCGAACTGTTATTAGCAAAGTTAATGTTGTAAGATGTCCAGGAGGGAAACAGAGTTACTCCACCGGGATAACCGACAATATCGAGACGTCACCCGCTATAGACATAATCTTACCGAGAATAACCATTTATTAACCTATAGTTATCAATTTTCAGGATGTTTTGTATGGATTAAATTCGAGAGAAAGAAACAAAGAAAATTGAGGGACAGACACTTTAATGGATTAAAATATCTGGAGAAAAAATCAGCATGTTCGCCGACAACACATCGCCGCCATTGCGCCTTTTCTCTCTAAAGGTCAGCTAAGGTCATCTCTGTCGTGTGGTATTTTGGCAATTGGATGATGTCTATCCGTGTTCCCATGAGTAGAATAGATGAGAAATTGTCCCAGCTGTCTTAAATGTATGTTGCAACATACTGTAGCATGTAGCATCCACAGCGATCTCATCAATAACGGTTGACAAGACTGTGTTAAGTGATAAGCATAATAATTCATGCAGTGATAACGAAATATCATAAAATAGCAGAGAGTAAAAAGAGTGAAGATAAGAATATCAGTAAAGAAAAGTAAACTATACAGTTTGAAGTACGCTTTCTTACGGTACTGTAGAACCTACGTTGGTGAGGTGTAGTAGGATTAGATGAAGTAGTTTCTGAATTAATGAGAAATATTTTGTTGGATAGATGAACATGATAGAAAGAGACAGGATAGCTAGCAGTTGAAGTTTTTGTCAGGAATTTGAAGTTGTGATAGATATTAAGAAAGGAAAGGAAGAAGGAAAAAAGGGAAGGAGAAGAGAAAAAAGAAGGGAAAGAGGAAAGGAGGAAAAGAAGCAAAGAAAGAAGGCTGTGTTTCTTCGGCAAGAGAATGTGGCTGCTAATCGGAATCGATTTGTCCTTTTCTAACCTAATATGCCGAGGTAAAAGATAGGATGTAGAGGTAGGTGAAGATGAAGATGATGATGAACATGTTAGGGATAAAGATGATGAAAATGGTGATGATGATGATAAGGATGAATATGATGATAAGGATGATTGGGATAATGATGAATATGTCGGGACAATGATGATGATGATGAATATGTCGGGATAATGATGAAAATGATGATGATGATGATAAGGATGAATACGTTGGGATAATGATGAAAATGATGATGATGATGATAATGATGAATATGTCGGGACAATGATGATGATGATGAATATGTCGGGATAATGATGAAAATGATGATGATGATGATAATGATGAATATGTCGGGATAATGATGAAAATGATGATGATGATGATGATGATAACGAAGAAGCATTTGGACTTATTTCCTCTTTTACTAAGTTTGAAGAAGTATTATTGTGAAGTAAACACATATATCAAAATATAATATATAATATATATAGTATATAAAATAGGAAAATGAAATTGACAATGATGCTTTCATTGCTTGCATGAAAGGGAATGAATGCTATTAATCGATTGTTTTTGCTCCTTTCATTTTTGAATTTGTAATGATCGAAATGAGCTGAAAGAGAAGAAAATTGGAAATGGATGCGTATGAAAAGAAATGAATGAAACTTATGGGAGTTAAACTGTGGT